GAGAGTTAATTTGCACAATATGTGAATCTTATATGTGCAAAACTTGGTGCTTGTTTTCTGATGTTTAAACCTATTTATAGCCTTTGAAATGACATAATTTTAAACCCAATTAACGTCCACAAAACGGATATAAACAGTCACTTATTTAAAACCTAAAATCTAGAAAAACTGTATCTGTAGTCGACTACAAGTCATAGTAGTCGACTACACTGAGTCTAAACAGACTCTGTGAAGTCAAAAAATTGCTTAGTAGTCGACTACAAGGCATAATAGTCGACTACACTGTAAACTCACAGATTCTGGAATTTTTCTTCAGTATTTTGACTGTAACTTTCTCATCCGATATCGGAATGAGGTGATTTAAGATTTGTTAGAAAGATCTTGAAGATACCTACAACTTTAATCTTTTGAGTTTTTCTGGATTCTAATTTATATGGGGTATAAATAAGATGTTTTAAGACTCACTTAATATCTATAAACTCTAATGGCTAACATAGGAGATTTCTATTGTTAACCAACACACTAAACATGTGTTAGTGTGTTATAACACTATATATGTGCATGTGTGTGAGTGATCAAGGCTTGTACAAATTTCTAATCAAAGAAAATATAAAATTACATTTTGACAATAAAGTATATCTTCTTCTTTGCTTCATTTTACCTTGAACTCATTTATGTCTTGAGTATCTCTTTGAAAATAATTGTTGATATAGCTCTAATACTGCAAAACAAATGTTAGCACATAATACACACAATATATAATATTTGTTATCATCAAAATAAACTAATCTTGGGGTCAAGATTCCTAACATTCTCCCCCTTTTTGATGATGACAAATATATGTTATTAAGATATAAAAATTTTAATCCCCCTGCATAAAATCGTTAAATAAAATCTTTTACTCCCCCCGTATCAAAGCATTAGTAAAAAAATCTAAAATTTTCTATATAACTCCCCCTTTGTCATTAGCAAAAAGAAATAAACATAATTCTAGTTAAATTTTTCTTTTCCTGGGTACCTTAATAAAAATATTAAGCACTTTGGTACCCTTTTATATTATATCATTAGGATTAGCCCTTAGGAATCCAAATCCACTTGGAATTTGGTTTCCATTTATTAACAAAAGTGTAATTCTTTGAATTGTAAACTTCATGCATATAAGATGAAATATAATCATTCCTATCATGAATATTCAAATTCTTAGGAATCCATATATACTTATTTTGTTTAGCATGAATATTCTTATTATTATTCTTCAAAACATAATCATTCTTTGTAAAATACTTAGGAACAAATCCAATGCCAAAATGATTGTTTGAAGATTTTTGAAATGAGAGCAAATTATTCAAATTCTCTTTACTTTTATTGAATTTACTAACATTCAAACATATATCATCATATTTTAATTTAATAGAAGAAATATCTTTATCTAAAACATTAATGCAAATTTTTAAATCATTGCATTCTGATTTTAGATAAACATTCTCATTAGTCAAAATATTATTTTCTTTAAGCAAGGATTTATTTTCCTCTTTCAATTCAATTACTTGAGAATAAGAAATAGTAGAAGAATTAAAATTAGAAATTTCTTCAAGTAATCTTTTATTTTCACCTTTAAGAAAATTATGTGAAGCCTTTTAATCTCAAAAATGTTTCATATAATTCATTGAAAGCATCTAAAAGCTCTTTATTGTCACTTACTTCATCTTGTGTCATAAAACACATATGAGCGCTTTCCTTTTCTTCGATTTCTTCATCCGAAGACGAATCATCACTATTATCCCATGTAGCCGTCAAAGCCTTCCTTTTCTTGTTGAATTTTGTAGACTTTGACATTAATTTTAGAAGGTGACAATCATTCTTCATATGTCCTGGCTTATTGCAATCATAACAAATAAAATTATTATTAGTATCTTTAACATTACTTGTACCTTCATAAGTTACCTCGAGCGTGTGCCAAATATCATATGCGGATGTGGCCGTTGACACCCTATTGAACTCATTCTTGTCAAGAGCACAAAATAAGACATTCATTGTTTTAGAATCCAAGTTTGCATTGTTCCTTTGAGATGTAGTCCATTTCGTGAAAGGAGTGGTTGGCTTCTCATATTTTGTTTCCACAATGCTCCAAAGTTCATAGCCAATTGATTGAAGGTAAATCTTCATTCGGCACTTCCAATAGTTATAGTTCAATCCATCGAATATTGGTGGACGATTTGTAGAATGACCTTCTTTGAATTATGATGTATTTGTTGATGCCATCTTTCACCTTGCTCTGATACCAAATATAGGGTCGTGATTTTGCTTATGTATACCAAGTGTAGGATCGTGACCCTTAAGAATAGAGTGCGCTCTTTTAAAAATCTGCGGAAGCTTTACACTTAAACACTAGAGTGTGAGTTTGCAAAGTAGTTTATAAATTGCAAAGAAAGAATGATAATCTCAGAAAATAAACATCACAAACACAAGCATGTATACTGGTTCCACCTCCCCGGTGAACATCCAGTCCCTAAGCAAATCCCGCTTGAGATTTCCACTATGATTTTGAAACCTTACAAAATTAAATGCAAACCTGACCAATTTGCAAGACCATGCAAATTACAAACCCAATTGACAAGACCTTGCTAATCGTCACACCGATCTCTAGACCAAGAGATCAACCCCTCTCATAAACCGAGAGAACCTTTCTTTGAAGTAATGTACAATTCCAATCCTATAAGCATTGATATAGATGTGAATGTATAATAGTGGTTTATCAATCTTTTTAACTCTCTGAATATTGCCTAAATAAGCTCTAAGAATGATAGGAACAAAGGTAATATCAGAAACTCTCTTTTATAGAAAAATAGATTGAAAAACTGAAAGTTTAGAGAGTTAATTTGCACAATATATGAATCTTATATGTGCAAAACTCTAGTGTTTAAGTGTAAAGCTTCCGCAGATTTTTATAAGAGCGCACTCTATTCTTAAGGGTCACGATCCTACACTTGGTATACATAAGCAAAATCACGATCCTACAAAGCTTACCGTCTTCCACATCCTCGTCCTCCTCTTCCTCCTTGTCGGTGTCAACCTCCGCCTCGAAATCTATAAACTCAGTCGACCCTTTCATCGTCATCATCTTCTTCTTCTTCCGATTCCCTCCAAAATCCTCATCATCATCGCGTCCTCGTCCTCTTCATCCTTCTCGTCGTCTTCAACCGCGGCATCGTCGATGAAATTAGATCTGCCCCCTTTTCTTTCCGCCCTTCCCCCCGTACTCCTCCTCCTCTTCCTCGAGATCTTCCTCCTCCTCCTCGTCGAACTCCACGTCATCGTCGTCGTCTCTGCGGCCGCGAGCCATCACCGTAGCCAGAAACCCAGAAGAAGAAGAGCAGAGTTTTTTGATCAGGTAAATGACATTTTCGGGAGATTTCGGGGCTTTGAGAGCGGAATTTTTTCCATGGAAAAATGCCTAGCTGGCACCTCCTCTTCCCCTCACTTTTCTTTTTCTTTTTTGCAAACTAAACACTTGATTGTGAAGGAAAATGCAAAAAATACACATTGTCAGTTTTCTAGAGACCATTTTCTGTTGTTTTTAAACCATCCAAACAACCCCTCAATAGAGTACATCTCCAAGATGCTCCAATTACTCTGATTTTTATTATCTATTTAATGTTAAGAAATAACATAAGGTCGAACCGGATTTCCAATATTATAATAGTAACATTTACGATAATAACTTTCACAATAGGATTTCAATAATCTGAAGGACTAAATTATTAACTCATCAAATAAGTTTTATTTTAGCCCTTTTAATCAGTTTTAGTGTTTGGGAATAACAATAATTTTGACTTATTTCTTTATAATTAGAAGGGTTAACTCTTAATCATTCTAAATAAGAGTATTAGTAAATTCCTCATTTTGAGAGGTTAACTCATTTTAATCTCTCTAGAGGGGTTAGCTTAATCCTTCTATATTTTTTATGTTTGGCAATTTATAGAGGGTTAACTCACTTTAACCCTTATATAGATTTTTTGTGTTTGATAGGTTAAGAAGGGGTTAAGTCTCCTTAACCCCTTACTTAACCCTTTGCCAAACAGTACCTAAAAGTGGAATATATAGTAAGGATTAGGGTGATTAAACAGTTTACAATTAATAATAAACAACAAAATCATAATGTTAACTAAAGCTCGGTGACGAGTGACTAATCAACAAGCCATGATAATCCATGATAACTGCGACTTGGTGACACAAAGAAATAGTAGGGTCCATAATAACTTATTACTTCTCCTTGCAATTTATAGGAAAAGATCACACTTTTTTATATGTGTAGTAGTACAAGAGGTGTATAACTCTTATACACAATTATCACTACTCTTAATCATATAGCTAATTAAGATCCTTATTTTCCAGGAAAAAAAAATGTGGCTTTTAAATGGGGTTTCGAACTTTTCGAAGTGTTGCTTCCAGACGTAGGTGAATGGTTAATATTTACCAAGAAGAAAACCGGTACAATATTTGTTTGTATTTAACACTTGGAAAACTCATAACGCATGGTGTAGATAATTATGGTAAGGGTTTAAACCTTTAACAATTTGATCTTAGCCCCTCAAATCATTGAAATTTCAAATAGCTCCACTGGTTCTCACTTCTTAGATCTTTGTTATTGCCATGGTGACTACTAAGAACTGGGGGACCTAACAACAACTCAATAATTTGTGGGACTCATTCTGACATGACTTAAATGATTTTAAGGGCGTAAAATAGCCATTTCAGTTATATGAAGGGAGTAATTAATTTCAAAATATCAACGATTCAAGGGATATAATGGGCAAAACCCCTCATCACATGAAGCCTTGGACATGCTCAACATAGGACAAGTTAGGCTGAAATCGGTAGATATGTAAGTTATGAACAGCGGAAACGATTTAAGGGATATATACTACAGTGCGCTCACCCAAATGCTATACCTCCCTTAATTTGTTGTTTAGTCCCATATTGGGGTTGGACCGGTAGATTTATCAAGTTATAAACAGTGGAAAGGACAATTATACCAAACTTTTCTCCAATCGCTACTACGTATCTCATGCGGAGCCACAAGCTCCAAAGTGCACCAACATGGTCTCTCCCTTTTTAAGCTCAGCTGTCCTCAAAAAGCTCTCTCACCCAAATCTCAGCTAGAGGCTTCAACTAAACTAACAATGGAACCTGAACTCAAACCTGCAGGGGTTCGAAAGGGAGCTTGGAGCAAAGAGGAAGATGATTTACTAAGGAAGTGCATTGAAATGTACGGAGAAGGGAAGTGGAGTTCAGTCCCCAACAAAGCTGGTAATTATTTATATATATTGTGATATTAGGGAACTTTATCCAAGTATTGAAATAATACTGCATCTTGTTTTCTTGGTTAAGAGGCATTTAGTTTTGTGTGTTTAATTAGGCCTCAAGAGGTGTCGAAAAAGCTGTAGACTTAGATGGCTGAATTATCTTTCCCCTGCTATTCATCGAGGGAAGTTTGGAGAAGATGAGGTTGATCTTATCATTAGGCTCCATAAGCTCTTGGGCAATAGGTAATTTTAGGACAATCACTTTTTTTTTCTTTATTACTATATTTGAATGGTTCTGGATATATATTATTAAAAGCCCAGTTTTATTTACTCTCTTTTTTTTTTTGAGAAAAATTTTATTTACTTTCTGAATTGACATTATTACACACATGTAAGACAGTAAGAGTTAGTTTTTCCTTTTTTTACTTCACCCACCTATAACTTCCACTTCATCCTTTCTAACACCTATTTGTATTGATTCCTATTTTCTTCTAGTGATAAAATATATTGGAACAAAGCCCTTATATATTCTAATAATGGTGTTCTTTATTGAACAGTACTAAATGATAAAGCAAAATGCATAATGGAAGCATGAGCAAGCCTTTCTCTTTTGTTAAATCATATGTTTTACCAATTCTAGATAAGAAAAGAGAGGAGAAAAAAGGTAATTTTATTTCTTTGCATCTTTTGTACATGTTGGGAAGAAGCAACTGCACAAGGAAATTTAACTTTGCGTACACCTAGCTAAAAGCATTAATAGATTACTATAGCATGGATCCTAAGTATCCTAACGTTTAATTTTATCCTTCTAAAAAAAGACATGGGTTTCTTGCTACTCTCAAACAGTTGTATACTTCTAAATTAATTTTCATAATTCATTTTACTGTATGTATCGCCTTTTTCATTTTCTATATGCAATTTACTTGCAGAAGCAGAAGCAAAAGAAGCTGTTATTAGGACATGTTTGACTAATACTTATTTTTTAAAAGTCTTATATAAGTTATTACTTATTTTTATTTAATTTTTTGAAGGGCAAAGTAGACTTTTGACAACAATAAGTAAATCTCTTATAATAAGCACCCAAAAGATACGTTGGGAAATCTCAACTTAATTTTTAGCTACTTGTAAGTTAAAAATAAGTAAATAAGTAACTTTTACAAAACATGATTGTGAAATCTTATAAGTAAAAATACACTTATAAGTAAAAATACACTTATAAGTAAAAATAATTACGTTGCCAAACATGCGCGAGAAGGCTGACGTACATGCTAAAATTTGATGCTGCTGTGTCCAAATCAACAGTCATGTAGGGTACGTACGTAGCACCTAGAAACATCAGTACACCAATTATTAAATGAGGAGCAGCGCCGGGGAGGGTTCTTCATGGAATATCCTACAATAAGAAATTAGAGAATAGTAATTAATACATAAGTATAGTTACTATTAGTACTAGTAAAACTACATGTTTATTGATGCAGTTAGGGGGTGTTTGACAATTTGAAAGTAAATTCAAAATGTGCAAGTTACTTTTCCTTTGCAAATAACTTTTAAATTCACGTCAGCATGTAACTAAAATATAGCGTCTGTTTGAATAAAATTATTGTTGAAAGCGCAACATGAAGATGCTAGCAAAATAAAATTAATTAATAAATATAATTACAATCATGTAATTAAAATTAGTTATTATTTTTATCACTTTCATGTGACTTCGCCACTTTTTTAAGGGAAACCAAAATTGTGTTAAATCCTATGTGGCGGCTTTCTTGTATTTCACTTTCATAACCGTTTGCATGCAAACGAGCACCTAAAATGTTTAAAAAAGTCACTTTCTCACTTTTCAACTTTTACTCACATGCAAACAAACACCCTCTCAGTATCAATAAAAAACTAGACATTAGTGATATGTGTTTTAATATTTTTTATATAAATACAAATTATCATACTATATGATGTTCTATAGAGGATTCTATGTAGGATTTTTGTCCTACTTTTTTATGATTAATAAAAAAAATTAAATTCTTAACCATCTTTCCTTCTTTTCAGTTTACCAAAAGAGATCCGAATCATTTCCAATTAAAAGAGATCCGAATCATTTCCAATTAGGTGGTAATTAGGGAGGGTCCAATTCTCTCAAATCTTATCGTCTATATCACTTTCAACGGATGAGATCACGTCATGTAAGAATTCTATTATTACCTTGAAAATCACTAGCAAACTTGAAAACTATAGATAAATCACTATTTGTGATAGTGAAAATCTTTTAGGCGGTGTGATCTCATCCATTGGAATTGAGATAGACTTTAAAGATTAAGAGAATTGGACCCTTTCCAATTATCAGTTAATTCGAGAGCCCAAAGATATATCAACTTTTGCAAACAAACATCTATCACAATTTACATTATCATAAAAAAAACCGTTTAGTAGTTATATTATTAAAAATGTTAAATTATGAAGTTCAATGGATAATAAGTATATTACATAAAATATTTATAAAATTAGTATGACGATAAAAAATATTGTAACTAGAGTCATGTAAATAAGTTACCGTTGTCCTTCATCAAATGAAAGAGCAATTGTATTGTGGCATTCATGTCTCATTTTTTACTTTATTTTTTATATTTACTAAGCAATTAAAGTCGTTGAAGATTATAACATAATATTGACATTTTTCCTAATATTCTGCTGTTAAGATTAAGTTGTTTGCAAATCAGCAGGCCCTCTATTTTCATCTGTATACTAACTTGGATATACGTACACTCCTATACTCATAAGAAATTTGACTTTCATATTTTGAATTCCTTTTAAAAAGTGAAATGTGCTTAATTAACCAAGAAATGTACAATTCTTGTTTTTAGGTGGTCCTTGATAGCTGGTCGGATTCCGGGCAGGACAGCCAACGACATCAAGAACTTCTGGAACTCTCACTTGGGCAAGAAGACAGAAGCCATTGATACCAAAAATAAAATCCGAGTTGTTAAGCCCCAGCCTCGGAGAGTTGCCAGAAGCCGGGCCTGCGGACCAAAGGATATTATGCAAAAAGATGAAGGCCAAGATCCCAACAATTCAAGAGCACTCCCTGAGAACAATATTGCTGAGCATGAAGAAGAATCGTTGAATGAGTTCATGGGCAGCAGTGGTCATGATGAGGAGCTTGGCGGCTTAATCCCTTATAATAGTAGCCATGAGAATTTGAGTTCTTTGGATTTTGGTTTCAGTTATGAAGTTGAGGAGATCATGGATGGAGCTTTGTTTTTGCGAGGGGTTGAGGAATGGGAGAAGCTACTTGAGGATACTATTTGTTTGGGCTGAGCCGATCTCTTGCGACAACGAAAAAGATCAAAAATTATATTAAAGAAATATTAATGCAATCTTTTTCTCCCTTTCTGTCAAGAATTAATTACTTGGGAAAACTTCAATTTTTGAAATTTGTTTAGAAATCTTAGAACCTTTAGAGACCTAATTAATTATAATTTATAATTTTAGATACAAATAGTTAATAGTGTTTGTTTTTTGGTATCATATTTCTGGACTTGGATTGACTGCAATTGTAGTTCCAACTTTAATTTCGTTTACAAATCAAAGAAATTGCCATGAGAATCCTTATAGCAGTTAGAGTTGCAGCTGTATTTGAAATAAAAAATAGTTGCAATGTTGGTTCTAAAATATAGTAATTGCATGAAAGCTACAACTACTACAAAATATCTCATAAATTTGCAATCATGCTGTTGCAAACGAGCGAAACGTCCCCTTTGTTGCACAAGCACATGCCTGCAGATGGGGGGTCATGTGGGCCATCGTGTTTACTTTCATTTTAGTAAAAAAAAAAAAAAGATCCTATTACATAGCATCAATAAGAATTTAAATACAGATATATTTTGGATCTTCCGAGTATCCAATAATGTGGTATAGTTATATCTGCAAGCGAAATGAGCTAGTTTGTGCGCATAAATATTACCCAAGTAACAGATTATATAGATAACATACAAGTAGTTGAATTTCTTAAAAAAGACCCAACATTCGCTGATGATTACCGCGAGATGTTGTGGGTGAGCAATGGCCCCGTGCTACATGAGAACAAGATCAAGGCAATCCCACTCCAATATGATGTCAATCTAACCTTGAGAGAGGGCAAGTTGCAAAGCCACAAGTACATATACAGCTCTGGCTGGAACTTATGTGGGGACGATGGGGGTCCAAAAGTACAAAACTAAAGGTCTTATTTTCATTTGTGTGTTATACTTTAGCTTAAGTAAGATTTTTACCATACAGTCATTGACTGATAATTAAACAGTTTTATGTAATAATTTCTGCTAAATAATATGAAATAGATATCTTAACGTTTAAACAGCATTAAAATGTCAAGTGTATTTGTTAAAAAAATCAATAATTTAAAGGTATAGATAATTTTTAAACTATTGTTTAGCTGTCAATTAATTATTTGAAGATAATGTCTTGTTGGAGAGATCCTTCAGAAGACCTCCATAAGATCCACTTGTTGAGCGCAGCGAAAATTTCGACAGCACTTCGACAGCACAACAAGAGAGTCAGGTCGCAATAGAAATTCTCGTTTCACCAAGGAAACAAGAACCTTAAATAAAATATCTCAACCAAATGAGATATCGGCTCTTCCTCTCATCAGTTCTAGGACTGACCTATCGAGTGAACCTAAATAAGCTATTACAAATCACAAAAGCGAGACAAACTATTTTTATGTGGTTCGACAAATAGCCTACGTCCACGAGATAAGGATGGGGGGAGATCTGCTATTAAAGGGAGAGAATACAACTAGGTTTTACAATCAACGAATCTAAACCTTCACACAATTTCTCAAATCCCTCACAAAACTCTCTAAAGGGATGCACAAAACCCTAAAAGGAACTGCTCAAAATCTCCTCAACACAGCCGTTGCCTGCGCTTTTCTCCTGTAGCCTGTAGGCATCGAAAATTGCCTATAGGTCTCTACGAACAGCTCAGTGTTAAAGAATAACAATGAACGTCACTATCCGGTTCACAGGAGTTCGACTGATGTCGGTGAACGCTTGAAGTGAACCGACGAACTACGTGAGCTGACAGGATTTCGGAATAACGAAGACACATGCTAATCGAGAACCCCGCGATGTTTACAAAAGGAACAACGCCCTTCATGTCTCATGCATTCAACAGATGATCTAATCATTGGAGCTTATATAACACCTCGTCGGATTCCCAACGCAGTTTGAATCGTTCAAATCCAAGTTCGTATGAAGAAGTTACGGCGAAAACGAACAAACGGGCATAACGGAACGTCTCAGGCTGAACTGGGACACCCGAGGTGTCTCGGATATTGTGGAGCTGTTTTTACCATAATTCGTTTTGAATATGAAGAAACTCAAAACAGGAAAGTTGTAGATATTTTTGTCAGCTTTCCAACCCATCTGGAATCAGGTCATTTGGAGGTCATATGAGGAAGTTATGACTAAAATAGCGCCGAGACACCCTTGGGGTGTCTTGACTTGGCCGAGACACCCTAAGGTATCTCGGAACTTGTGGAGCTTTTTTGACCATGATTCGTTTTGAATCTGAAGAAACTCAAAACAGGAAAGTTGTAGATATTGTTCTCAGATTTCCATCAAATCTGTAATTAGATTATTTGGAGGTCATATGAGGAAGTTATGACTAAAATAGCGCCGAGACACCTTTAGGGTGTCTTGATTTGGCCGAGACACCCTAAGATGTCTCGGAACTTGTGGAGCTTTTTTGACCATGATCCTTTTTGAATATGAAGAAACTCAAAATAAGAACGTTGTAGATATTTTTGTCAGCTTTCCATCAAATCCAGAATCAGATCATTTGGAGGTCATATGAGGAAGTTATGACTAAAATAGCGCCGAGACACCCTTGGGGTGTCTTGACTTGGCCGAGACACCCTAAGGTGTCTCGGAACTTGTGGGGCTTTTTTGACCATGATCCGTTTTGAGTCTGAAAAAACTCAAAATAGAAAAGTTGTATATATTTTTATCAGCTTTCTATCAAATCTGGAATCAGATCATTTGGAGGTCATATGAGGAAGTTATGACTAAAATAGCGCTGAAACACCCTTGGGGTGTCTTGACTTGGCCGAGACACCGGGGGGGTTAGTCATCTAGAACTTAAAACGGGAACTGGGATAATTTGTGGGATAAATTTTTAAGGTGTTAGTCACATAGAACTAGGAAATGTGATATTTTTTTATAGTGTTAGTCAAGTAGAACTTTTGTAGAACTAGAACTGTATTATTTTTTTGGTGTGTTAGTCAAGTAGAATTCTACTAGAATTAGAATTGGGATAATTGGTCATAATTATCCCACAAATTATACTACCTATATATATAACCATAAGTTCTCCTCTCTCAAATTATCCTACACATTGGAAAGAATACAATTGGGAAAAAAAAGTGAAACGTCACCTCCCTCCCTCTTGGTTAAAATTTCTCTGCCATGAAGTCAATCATCCGTTCATTTTTCTGTCTTTACTTTGTTTTTGTGATGATTAGATCTTTCATTATTATCTTCAAGATGTATTACTTTATTGATAGATTTTTGACGTTAAATTACTTTATTATTATTTGTTTGATCTAAGTTTTCTCTCCACAACAGTGGTTTAGGTTAAGAATATAGTGTTGGTGGGTTAGTGCTAAAGATATGCGGGCTATTTATATATTTTTTATAAGTTAGAAAGCAACTTTGCGATCACATTGATGATTAGATGTTGAATGATTAATGATGATATCTATTATTATTAAATCGGCTCAGTAAATTGATTGGGATATTATTAAATCGGCTCTAGGGATTTAGATTTTTATTTATTTGTAAATTATTTTATTATTTGAGATGAATAGTGATGCTTTATTGCATTATATTTTATAGTTATCACTAGAATTTGTTTATCAATATTATATTATTTTTAATATACAATTATTAACAATAGTAATTTATACATACCATTACCCCCACCAAATTATCCTATCAAATTATGCAACTTCATAATATTATCCATCATTATCCCATCAAATTATCCTACCAAATTATCAAACTTTAAGAATTACTCATCATTGTTCCACTAAATTATCCCAGTGTAAAAAAATTATCCCACTTTACTAATTATCCCAAATCTACTTAAAAAGTTCTAGGTGACTAACCCTCCCTAAGGTGTCTCGGAACTTGTGGAGATTTTTTGATCATGATCCGTTTTGAATCTAAAGAAACTCAAAACAAGAAAGTTGTAGATATTTTTGTCAGATTTCTATCAAATCCAGAATCAGATCATTTGGATGTCATATGAGGAAGTTATGACCAAAATACTAAAGAGGGTACATACTGTCTCGCACAGGTGCGAGACACCCCGAGCTGTCTCGCACTTGGGACGTGTTTTTGACGATTTTCGATCAGTTTTAACCGCTCCGTTATCCCCTCAAGCCTATAAATATAAGCCTTAGGCCTCATTTTTTCGGATCTAGAATTTTGGAGAAGAGGCGAAGCCCTGCCGGAGTGAAGAGTGATCGAGCACTTCAACGCAAGAGAGTTTCTTCGTCAGATCTACATCACCCGTACCCGATCCTTAATATTATCCCGTTGCGATAATACTAAGAAGAGCAAATATCTCGCTTTATCCGAGATAGGCGCTTTAAGTTTCTAGATCTCCTCACGGATCGACGAAGCTCTGGATCAGATCTGATTGCCAGGTAGTCCACGGATATCGACGTCCCCGTCACAGGCTAAAGATCCACGCAAGCAAGAGACGACGAACGGATCTTGTGTTTATTTTTAAGAAAGTTGTAATTTTTATTTTTTTGTTGTGTGAATTCATTTGTAACGATTGAAGTTTTAATGAAATCAATGATGAAAGCAACTTTTGACGAAAACATAGCCGTAAAAACCAAAACCTCTTTTGCATAGTTCTCGAAACCCTAGAGACGCGGTTTTATAGGCGCACGAACTCGGAACTCGGGTGGGCCGGCCTTGGGTTGTTCTGCTCCGCATTCACGTGGGTATTGAGGGTTTCACTTCGTGGCCGTTGAGGGTTTCACTTTGTGCCCCCCACAACCTACGAAACCACATGGCTTTGAAACCACGTGATGCTACTGACGTTCACAATTCTCCACCTCGGTGAAGTTTTTCTAAAACTAAGCCGACACCAAAGCATCCAAATGTCCCACTTGTTGTGTCCAGTACGCCGTAAAATAATTCACGATAACGGACTCAATCCACAACACATCGGGAACCCGAACGAGAGTCCAAACAATCTCACCCATGTAGGCATAAAAAATTACCTATAGGTTCTCGCACATAGCTCGAGATGAAGAAAAAACGATGAATGTTATTATCCGAGTCAATAAGGATTATCTAAGTCAAAGGAGATCATCCGATACTGTAGAGAAGTTAAAAAGCACATGAAGTAAGTCGGCGAAGCGTACGAGTCT